GTATGTGGGATCCGAACCCTCGGCGGGAGCGCCGCCGCACTTCCCAAGCGGCGCACTGCAGCAGTGCGCCACCGGGCCGGCCCCCTACATTCTGCTTTTTTCATAAATTCCCCACGTCTGCCACAAAGTCTGTACAATTTTTAATGAATGCTTGACATTCTATCAGACCGAACATACTTCATTCAACTCAAATGCCTCCTCCTTCCGAGGAGCATTGTTTTGTTTGCATTACCCTAAAGACAGTGTAATAAATATGGCTGCAAAGCACAGGCGTGAGCTGAGTGACAGGGCCTCCTTTTTCACTGCCCCCCACATCTCTCAGCCCCCATTCCTCCCCCACCCACCGCACCCTCTTCTCGCCAGCCCTCCTGGGATGAGCCTTGCAGAACGGTCACTCACGTTCAGCGCATGGATGGGTTTGGTGACATTGAACTTGTCCATGGTGGACAGGATGATGGAGGGTGTGGTCAGGAAAAACAGCACCACGAAGAGACTGAAGTTGATGCCCAGCCACTGGAGCCACCAGCGGAGGCCCTGGATAGACAGGTTCTTCCTGCAGAGGGGGAACAGAGGCCCGGAGGCTTATCTCCCAGTGCCCACGGCTCAGGTGGGTCAGAAGCTCAGACTTAGGCAGGCCGAGAGCCTGGGGGCCCTGGCAGAGGGCGCATCTGGGCCTCAAGTTCTCTGCACTGACCCTCAGCCACAGGAAGGTCACTGTGAGCTCAGAGGGACATCGGGTTATTCACCACGGGTGGGGTTTCCCGGCTACAGTCTAGGGGCCAGAAATTACCCAAAGAGATGTCACGAGCACCCAAGCAGACGAAACAAGGCTCCAGCATGGCATTTGTTAGACATGTCTGCAAGGCTTTGTGATGAATGACACGTTCTTCCCAATGGGGCCCCAGGCTGGGGTGCAGGGAGGAAAGAAGTGGGGACAGAGGAGGAAAGCCTCAGCTGGAACCTGCCCTGGTCCCCCACCCCCACCAAGAACAGACCCACAAACCCATCCCAAGTTTCAGAAGCCCTGAGAACCAAACAGCAGGACAGTTGAGGCTGAACTGGAACCCAGTGGGGACCGGTACCCAAAGCTCATCCCGTGCATGGAACTGAGGCGGGGGGCTTCTGCTGGGGGTACCCCCACCCTTGGCATGGTGCTGAATGCCCACGGACACAGCTCAGCTCCCCAGTGTGTCCCCCAGGCTGGCGCTTAACCTCAGGCTGCACCGCCCAATGGGGAAGCCACCAAGCCACACCTGGCTACCGAGCACTTGAAATTTGAAACACTTGAAATTTGGCTGGTCTGCATTAAGAGGGCTAGAAGCGTAAAACATGCACCAGATTTCGAAGACTAAGTATAAAAAGAGAATGGCAGCATCTCAAATTTTTAAAACACTGATTACACGTTGAAGTGATAAAATTCTGGATATACTGGGAGAGATAAATTATTAAAATTAATTTCAACTGTTTTTTTACTTTTTAAAAAAAACTTTGGTGGCTGGCCGGCACAGGTATCGAACCCTGGACCTTGCTGTCATCAGCACCATGCTCTGACCAGCTGAGCTAACTGGCCAGCCCTCTTCTTACTTTATTAACACGTCTCCTAGGAAACTCACAATTACATACGTATGGCTGGCTGGGTAGCTTGGTTGGTTAGAGTGCAGGGTTGGAACACCAAGGTCAAGGGTTTGCAACCCCATACTGGCCAGCCGCCAATAAACAAACAATAAACCATACAATTACATACGTAGCTGGCATTATATTCCTGCTCAAATGCCAGGGAGAACCACTGGAGGGAAGCACTGGCTGTGAACACCCCTGTCAGGCTGCATCACACACATGACCCAGGCCCCGAGTTGCAGGAGACGTGTGTAGATCTCCACTGAGTGCCAGCTCACATCTGTGCCCCGGGTGACTGGGCAGCGCCCCCCAGGAGCCCAGGCCTCTCTTCTGCCCCTTCCCAGGCCTGGGAGCTCACCAGCAGATGTCCTCAGGGTAGGTGGCGAAGGTGACCGTCCACTTGGAGGTGCAGAGCTCTTTGCTGTGGGAGGAGGGCTGGGGCTCACCTTTGCACCGAAGGCCCTGACACTTGCAGGCGTTGAAGTCTTTCAGGATGCTGCCGGGAGAAGCAGAAGCAGTCAGGGCCCAGCCCAGCTGCGGTGCCACACACACATGGTACATGGAGGACAGGGACCGAGGGAAAGCGGGAGCCTTGTGACACAGGATCTCTGCCATATTGTTATTATTTTATTATAATTAATGCTAGGAAAGAAATACATGCTCAGTGCACTAGGTGGAGGATTTTGCTGAAATCAAACACGACAGCCCTGCAAGCAAGAGATCACTGTCCCCAAGGTAGGTTTTGTGCTCCTGTCCATCTGACCCCACGGTTGACACTACCCCAGCTCATGCTCCTCTGCGGGGCCACCCTCCACCCTGACCGTGTTGGACCCCGACCTGCCCCTGCCCAGTGCTCACCTCCGTCGTCCCAGGCCCAAGAGCAGCCTGAGACCACGTCGCACATGGCCTGTTCCCAAATTTCCTCCCAGGACTCCCACCTCCACGTGCATCATCCCCATGGGTCACAGACTGTCCCCCTCTAGCCTCTCACAAGGAACCCCGGCCCCTTCACTCCTGTCTCAGAACACCCTTCCCCTTGACCCTGGCCTCCTCCGCCTCAGGGTCTGAAGTGAGGCAGGAAGTCCTGTGGGGAACAGCCAGGGAATGGTTCCCAGGTTCACGGTGCCCGAGACAGATGGCAGGGGAAGGGGCATTGGCTTGGCTACCTCCTTGCTGCATCCCTCCCCGACCCTACCCCCTGCTCCTCCCAAGGCCAGATGACACTGCGAGCCGGACATCAGAGACTTTGTGAGCTCAGAGCTTCATGCCAAGGGGCATATGAGAGCCCACTCCCCAGATCCAGGCTCCCTGTAGCAGTGAGTGCCCCAGAGTACCCGGGGGTCTTCCCCACAGCTCTGCATGTGTGGGAAGATGGGGAGCCCAGGGACAGAAGAAGGATCTGTGGTTCCAGAGCTGGTGATACCTAAAGGAGGGGGTGTGTACCCATCCCGCCTGGCAGAATGCTGGCACACACAGCCAACGGGACGGATCGCTGGGCCAGCTGTGGAGAGCCCGGCTGTGGGGCCAGGCCACGTGAGCCCAAGAGGGGACCAGCCAGAATCACCCCACACCCAGCCCCCACCAGCTGTCACACAAACATGGCTGGGCTCACCGGAGTGATGGACACACCATCTCTACCAACGGGGACAGCAAGTTACCTGGAAGAGAACAGGGATTCGGCCAAGGGAGGGCCTGGGGTGTGCCCACACTCACTAGGTGGCCATGGACTTCTCCTGGAAGGTGACAAAGGCCATTCCCAAGGGCTGGTACTGGACCCGGCGTCCCTCCTCTGTGATCCTCTCCAGCAGCCTGTCCTTCATGCGCGTGTAGTAAGAAATGGCGTTTTCCTGCAGGGAGACACATCCCCTGGGGATGACGCGGCCCCGCACAGGTGCAAGGACACCACGGTCCCAGCCAGGTACTGTGATCCTCTCCAGCAGCCTGTCCTTCATGCGCGTGTAGTAAGAAATGGCGTTTTCCTGCCGGGAGACACATCCCCTGGGGATGACGCGGCCCCGCACAGGTGCAAGGACACCACGGTCCCAGCCAGGTATGGGGCTCACCCGCTCACAGCCCTGCACTTCGCAGCAGCAGAACTGGCCGCAGGGCTTGGGGTTGATGAGGGTCGGCTGGCCCGTCTTCACCTGCAGGTTTGTGTAATAGGTCAGGCTCCGCTCAGTCTTCTTTCTGCAGCGGGGGAGCAGGGCAGGGTGCAAACTTCATGCATGTCCTGTGGCATGAATGCCACACCCACGGTTCAAGCATCCGTCACCAGGAGGGGAGGAGGAGCCCAGCGTTCTGAACAAGAAGGGGGCAGGGCCACCCACCTCCCTTCCCAGCAGGGGAATCCCAGGCCACCGAGGAAAGAGGTGGCACCTCATGGGAGAAGGGCTCAGAGAGCTCCAGGCCAGCTGATCTGAGGCCCACCCACCCACTGCCCCCTCTCACCTCTCCTCGCACAGGTAGATCAGCTTGGCCACGTCGCAGCACAGCCGGACATCCGCCACCTTGCACGTGGGATACGCATCCCTGCGGCAAAAGATGGTCATTGGCAAGAAAAACCCCAGGCAGGGGACAAGCCACCTCTCCAAGGAAAGGACCACAGAGCAGTCACGCTGCTGTCCTTTGTGCCAGCAGAGCTTTTCACTTTGTCTTTTACCCCCCAAGAGGGGGAAATTTTGAAATTTAATACAAAGAGGCCTTTTTTAGGCATGAAGGTAACTGCCTGGAAGTGACAAGTTTACACCCACCTGACTTCCAATCAGCTGGCAGCCCTCATGGGAAAAACGAACCTCTCTGTTGTCCCCTCTAACCATCCATTTATTGTTTGCTTCAGGTCAGTATCTACCTCGGACTGTCACTGAAATCCTACTCAGTTCGTAACGTTTTTTAAAGGTCACAGACTTTTTAGAGCGTCCAATGAACACAAAAGACCCTCAGCTCAGAAAAAGGTCTACTCATATGTTAACGTTCAGCAAAATGCTTACCTACTCACTGCCGGCCAAGTACGGTTGCATATATTAACTTATTTAATCCTCATCATAATCTGTGAGGTTTTTGTCCCCATTTTACAGATGAGTAAACCGAGGCCCACAGAGGTCAAGTGTCTCATGCCCAAGGTCACACAGCTAGCAAGCGTCTGAGCCAGAAGTTGAACCCAGGTAGCCGGCTCCAAGGTCAGTATCTGCAGCCGCCATGAGATGCCCCCTCAACATATACACAAAATTGTACATCCGACTCCTGGGGATTCCAGGACCATGTAAATTCCCACCTACTATGTGCCAGGCTACTGTTCCAGGTGCTGGGAACAGAGGCTGGATAAACTCACATTTCAGTGAGAGAGAAAGCCTGGAGACACATCAATCACCAATTAATCAGTGGACAATTTCAGGTCCCAGTAAGAACACAGGGGAAGAGATGCCCAGTGTAAGCCTCGCTGCTACAAGGCAAATTCACACATCCACACGTCGAGCCCCAGACGGCAGCAGTGTTTACTAAGAAGGTGTCCTAAGGTGGGGCAAAGGATGAGACACACGATGTTTGGATGGGAATGAGGGGACCTTTTTTTTTTCTTTAAGGTTATACCTTAAGTGGAACTGCTGTTTCCAAATGTTGCCCAACAGGCAACTTTTCAAGGAATAGAGAAAAATGATTCCACTACAGAGTGCTTGTACACTCACATAAATGAGTATTTCTAAAATACTTGTAGTTTCTGAAGAAGAGGGCAGTTGGTAAATTTTAAACACCCATTTTACGATTCTGTTTATATTAGTAATGTGTGTAGCACGTGCTCTCTTCATAAATATTGCAAAGTCAATCTGTAGCCAACTCCTGGTGCTTG